GTTTCTGTAGACACATGCTCTGGCATTATATATGCCTCCCCTATGACTGGAGAAAAGGCACATCAGGTTATTACCCACTGCCTAGACGCGTGGGCAACTTGGGGCAAACCAAAACAGCTCAAAACTGATAATGGTCCTGCATATGCAGGAAATCAATTTTTCTCCTTTTGCAAAGCAATGGATGTTCAACTTCTTCATGGGTTGCCCTATAACCCTCAAGGTCAAGGCATCGTAGAACGTGCACATCGCACGCTAAAGGAGACTTTACAAAAACAAAAGGGGGGAATTGGCCATGGCCGTACCCCTAAGGAAAGGCTTTCTCTTACTTTATTCACTATTAATTTTTTAAATTTGGATGCTCAAGGCCTGTCTGCGGCGGACAGGCATAACAAGTCTCAAGGTCTAACAAAAGGAATGGTAAAATGGAAAGATATTTTGACAGGGCTCTGGTGCGGGCCTGATCCCGTGCTAACATGGGCATGAGGTTCTGTTTGTGTTTTTCCACAGGACCAACAGGATTCGGTTTGGGTACCTGAACGACTCGTTAGGAGAGTCCAAGGAGAAGAAGCACAAGATGCAAGGGGTGGTGATGATTCTTCTGATCGCCCTCACAACGATACAGCCTGTAAGACCAGTGCCGAGATGGGGGATCCTGTCCGTGTTCCCAAGACCGATGCCCTTATCTTTTAGGCAATTGGACTGGAGAGTTTGACAGCTGTGGATCATTTGAAGGAGTGGGCGGGAATGGGCTCCCTTATTGGTATCCTGGCATTGGTGATCTTGCTGTGCCTGTGGTGCATATACTGGATTAGGAGCTCGCAGCGCAGGAGTATGGCTATGGTGGTCCAGGCCTTCACTGCCATTGAGGCCGGACAGTCCCCCTATGCATGGCTTGCCACGTTAAAGGAATAGCACAGGGTGCGAGGCAAACGCACTGCACTTGGGAATCACTCCCTGGCGTGAGCCCAAGAAGAGCATGTTGGGTTGCAAGTGGGTTGATGCCCAAGATCCCACCTCTGCAAAAAAGGCATCGGACGGGCCTGGTCATCACTGGGGAAGGCACCCCTCAGGCGAAGACCAGTGCAAGGTCCTCTCATTAATGTTTTAGACAGAGGCCCAACCTCTACTCTTACCTGTTGCTTAATAAAACAAAAAAGGGGGAGCTGTGGAGAGCTGCGGGAGCCCCGACCAAAGACCAAAGACGGCTGCAAAAGCAACATTGTAGCTCCTTGGTTCAAGGTGCGGCCGCAAAAATCGCGGGGCCGCGGGGCCGTGTGGTGCGGCTCCGACCTAAGATGGCGCTGGCTCCCGCCTTCTGTCTTCCCGGTGACGAGTGCTCTCTGTAAAAAACAACTCCTTATATGGCTATGACTTGGCTCCCAGTTTGCTTCCGTGTTTGCAGCCCTATCGGTATATGCCATGTGGCGCTTCGGGATTGGCCATCCAGGAGGCTTATAACCGGACCGGAGCGTGGGGGGGGGGGGCAGAGAGAAGGAGAAGCAGGAAGAAGCGGGCAGGAGGAGAAGCAGGAGAGAAGAAGCTGTAAACAAGGTCCTGAATAAACCGCCTGAGAGAAGAACCTGTTGTCGCATCATCCTTGCGGGTCGAGGCGGTCGCGACATACAGTGACTTTTTTTTTTTGTCCTGACAAGGCCCTTCACAAGGAATCCTGAGATTGTGAAAACCCACAGACCACATTTTCACCTGGATTCGTCACTGAGCTCACCCCCTGCCTACAGTCCCAAGTCCTCTAGGAAAACCCAAAGCACACATCTGTCCTTCTGTGCGTGAGGAGGGACTAGAATGTTGCAATAGTTTCTGCCCAATTCCTGCATATAGCAAGTGTGGTAATAAATCTCCTTTCTCTCACTTTTACCTCCACTCCTCTGTGTGTGTGTGTGTGTGCTGGTACTGGGCTTGAACTCAAGTACTCATGCTCTTGCTTGCTTTTTCTCTCAAGACTAATGCTCTACCAGTTGAGCTACACCTCCACTTCTGGCCTTTTTTTATGGGTTAAGAGGAGGTAAGAGCCTCTCTGAACTGGTTTCAAACCTCAGTCCTCAGCCTCCTGAGTGGCTAGGATTACAGGCCTGAGCCACCAATACCAAGCCCCATACTCCTCTATTTAATGGCATCTTAGAGGGAATTGCTAGAGCTGAAATCTTGGACATCCAAGCGTTGGACATCCAAGGACATCTAGATTTATATTGACTCAATAAAAGTTCTGAATGTTGAACTGACATTGGCCTCACAGTTGACCAGGAAATCAAGACGCTGCCTGCATCTGCCATTCACCCTGCTGGGTGCTGGGAACAGCCGATGGACATCTGGAGACAGGAGGGTATCAGGAGACATGGCAGCCACACTGGGCTGCACAGGACAAGGGGGCAAACAGCTGGGTTAGGACTGAGGCACTCAGAGGTGAGAGGATGCCACAGCTGGGCCCTCAGGACCGGAACTGAGGAGCCTCAGGCAGCAACAGTGAAGAGAGGAAGATTCTATGAAGGCCAGGTGCTGGTGACTCACGCCTATAATCCGAGCTACTTAGGAGGCCGATATCTGAAGATCACAGTTTGAAGCCAGCCTGAGGGTGGTAGGGAGGGGGGGACAGAAACTCTTGTGAGACTCTTATCTTCAAAGAACTGGCAAAAAGCCAAACGTAAAGGTATGGCTCAAGTTGTACAGTGCCAGACTTGAGCGAGAGAACCAAGCAAGAGTGCTGGGACCTGAGTTCAGGCCTCAGTAGTGACACAAAAAGTAACAGTTTAAATGAATGAATGATAAGTAAGGATGGATTCTCAGAGCTACTCTGCCTATAGGCTCTGCCTACAACACTCAGCGGTGTATGTGCTCCTAGCTATCCATCAGCTCCAGCTGCGTACACCCACATCCAGATAAGGTGACCACTTGCCCCGCCCACACATAGCAACTGACAGGCATCTCTCTCTACTGACTCTACTGGAATGAAGAGAGGGGTGGGGACATCAAGAGGATCTTAAAGAAGCTGGGAGGAAATCCAAGTCAGAGGGAAGAAGGACAGCAGAGCTGACCAGCCTGGGAACAGGGCTGGAGTCAAAGCACACCTCCATAGAGCTCAGAACTGGAAACAGATATCATCATGGAGGCCCACTCAGCCCTTCCCCACAGAGGACACATACTCTGGCAGGGGCTTCTGCTCACAGGTGAGGAGAGGATTTCTTGAAGGAGGGAGGGCAGGGGAAAGAGAGCACGGAGCTCTGCTGGGGTCTTCTGTGAAGGGCAGCAGCTGACAAGAGACACAGAGCTTCTATGTGGAGCTTAAGGGAACAGAACATAAAGAGAGACAGCGGCCGGGCACAGGTGGCTCACGCCTGTAATCCTAGCTACTCAGGAGGCTGAGATCTGATGATCTCGGTTCAAAGCCAGCCTAGGCAGGAAAGTCCATGAGCCTTTTATCTCCAATTAACCACCAGAAAACTGGAAATGGCTCTGTGGCTCAAGTGATAGAGTGCTCGCCTTGAATTGAAGAGCTCAGGGACAGCAGCCAGGCCCAAAGTTCAAGTCCATGACGGGCAAAAAAGTGGGGGGGGGAGCCTGGGAATGTGCCTCAGTGGTGGAGAGCTTGCCTCACATGCATGAAGCCCTGAGTTTGATTTCTTAGTACCACATACACAGAAAAAGCTGGAAGTACATCTAGAGACAGGAGGGTATCAGGAGACATGGCAGCCACACTGGGCTGCACAGGACAAGGGGGACAAACAGCTGGGTTAGGACTGAGGCAATCAGACGTGAGAGGATGCCACAGCTGGGCCCTCAGGACCGGAACTGAGGAGCCTCAGGCAGCAACAGTGAAGAG